CCTTGGGTTTTGGGCCAGTGAGCAACAGGTCGGCGGCCACGCTTGGTTGGAGAGCGCGAACAAGACGACCAGGTGGCATTTGGGGCTTTAGGGTTTAGGGGTCTCAGAGGTGATTTTAGGGCTTAGGGAGAGCGTTGAAGGAGCAGAGTCTTCGGCATTTTTTCGGCCCACGCCCTAAGCCCTAAAATCCTAACCCCTTAACCCTAAAATCCTAAACCCTAAACCCTAAAACCCTAAACCCTAAACCCTAAAATCCTAAACCCAAAACCCTAAAACCCTAAACCCTAAAACCCTAAAGCCCTAAACCCTAAAACCGTGTGCAGGTTGCAGACTGAATTCTCCACGTACCACATCTGGTACGGTGAGGACGGTTTAGGGGGCTTGGGGCTTAGGGGGGGTTTGGGGTTTTCAAGTTTAGGGCTTTAGGATTTCAGGTTTTAGGGCTTTAGAGATTTAACCTTCCGAAGGAAGGGAGAGTGGGCTGTCATTGAGAGTGCGATGTTCTGCTGGTAGAATATACGCACTTGAAACAGGTAGAACAGGGGTTCGAGGTATAGTATACTATAGCTGTATGAGGCCCCCCCGGATGGAATGCTGTTACTACCTGCCTAAACCCGAAACCCTAAAACCCTAAAGCCTTAAACCCTAAGAGAGTAGAGTAGGCGAAGCCGAAGCTGCGAACTCGAGGATCTCCAACCCCCATGAGCTTCAAGGAGACTCCAAATTGAGCTCTTCGTAAAAGGGGTTTAGGGATTAGAGGTTTATGGTTTAGGGTTTTATGGTTTAGGGGTGTAGGGTTTAGGGGTTTAGGGTTTTAGGGGCTTAAGGGTTTATGGTTTAGGGGCTTATGGTTTAGGGGTTTATTTAGGGCTTAGGGGTTTAGGGTTTTAGGAGATTAAGGGTTTATGGTTTGGGGTTTTAGTTTAGGGGTTCCGGGGTTTAGGGGTTAGGGGTTTAGGGGTTTAGGGGTTTAGGGCTTGGGGTTCAGGGTTTGCCGATCTGAAAGCTCACGGCGGCATAGCGGAAAAACATAAACACTTGCCACCGCATAGGGGCCTGAACAACTAGGAATAAGTATTGGTCTTGTGCGGTGCCCAACATACACAAAATATATACATATATACTAGAATGGTATATATATATATATATGTATGTATGTATGTATGTATGTATGTATGTATGCATGCATGTATGTATGTATGTATGTATGTATGTATGTATGTATTTTTGTATGTATGTACAAATCAAAAAAAAGGGTCTAGGGTTTAGGGTCGCCGAAACGCTCTGACTATTCAAGGCTGCAGGCGCACTCTAAAACCTAAGCCCTGAACCCTGTTGAGGCCCCCAACCTAAACCGTAAACCCTTCAAGCCCAGAGCCTGAACCCTAGCTCCCAGGCTTAGGGTTTGGGGCTACGATTTAGGGTTCAGGCTTCAGGGCTTAGGGACCCTAAACCCTGAACCCTAAACTCTGAACTTTCCGCTCCTTCCGGCTTGCTATCTTGAGCCGGCAGGAGTGGTCCACCCTCGGAGTGGAGAAGTGCGGGGGCCCCCCGCTAGACCGAGCCCGAGAGGGCTGTAGGGTTTGGGGATTAGGGACTGGTTCGAGGGTTTTGAGGTTTTGAGGGTTCAGGGTTTCGGAGCGGTGAAGGTTGTAGGGTTTCGAAGGGTCTAGGGTTACATCGGTTTAGGATGTTTTTTCGGTGTGCTGGGGTTCTGCAAGGGTTATCTGTTTAGGCTAGGCTTCGGGATTTTGAGTTTAAGGGTGAAAGCTGCATGCTCTCATGCACCGTCGCAGGAATCTTGCAACTGTTTCGAGGTCTTGGCCTTATTTCTGACACCAGAACAAGTCGTCACAGTAATCGCAATGCTGAGACCAGTGGAAAATCACAACAGCAAGTGTAGCAATAGACTGCAAATAAATACATAAAGCAACAGTTGCAAAGCTTGAGTGACTACTCCAGGTGCATTTTTGCCCATTTGCAAGTTCGTTGTTTCCCTCACCCAATGCCCTAAACCCCCAACGACCAAAACCCTAAACCGCAAGCCCGGCGATCTTGAAGCGTGCACAAAACCCCTGGTACAACCTATAAGCTCTTGTAGACACCTGATAAGCCCGTACAGGACCTTACAGCAGCTCCCTAACCTTTCCGGCCCTAAACCCTAAACCCTAAACCCTAAACCCTAAACCCAAGGACTGGGAGATCTGGCCATGCCGAGATCGGGTGATCGAGCATTTCGAGCTCTGCGCCCAGGCCGGGTAAGCAAAGAGGATTGGGTGGTCCCGTAAGTTAGCGGGCATCATCGTCTTAAAGAGGCTTGCAGAGCTTCATTATTGCGGCCCAAGAGGTACGGAATAATGACAGAGAGATTGCAGAATTCAGAACTGCGGGGAGTGAGGCGGCCCCGTTGTTCTTGGTCGGGGAGGCTTTACAAAGAAGTGCACCTACTCTTGGCGATTTCTAGGGGGATCCCGTATTCTCGCTTTGCCTGAAGGCCCCAAACTTACGGACTGACAGGCCCAGGGGTAATTCGGCCTTGAAGCTTTCAAGAATGTTTGCTCTGCTTCTTCGGGTCTCTGTAGACGAGGGCCCACACAGAACAGCAGGGGCTTCTAGCTTCCGAGAAGTTGCTTCGGACTCATCGGTGGTATCCTGCAGCTTATGTAGTTTTCATGTTTCTTTTATTATTTGATGTTTTCTCTCATTTCGTAGTTGGTGGCCCGATTCATGGCTTGGAATGAGCAAACCTTACCGCTGTGGAGCTCCTGACAGGAGTATGGCATCTACGCTCATTGCCAGCTGGGCGTTGACGTGGACTGCCCCGGCGGGAAGAACAGCTAAATGAGGGCAGTGCATCACAGGGGGGTCACAAGCGTCACTGATCCTGTCAACCACTTCCATTCTCAGCAGTGGCATCATCTTCGAAGGCGCTTCTGGGTTGTAAGCCTTAAACCCTTAACCATGACTCCAGCACCTAAACCCTTTCGATGTTGCAGCAATCAGCCTGCAACCTGCTTTTCGATTCGCAGAAGATTGGGCCGTGGCGTGGACACTTGCAGCTCAATCGGACACCCCCTCAGTACCGGAAACAACATTAGATAGCTACCAGTTCATCAGCAATTGCAAAGAGCAGCATATCCCGAAGCAGGAAATGCAAGTATGCTATCAAGATCAATTAGGCTGAATCCCCAAACCCTAATCCCTAAAACCCTAAAGCGGGGCATCTAGAGAAGCTGTGCTCTGAGAGTCAGAGGAGTCAGCGGACGTGATCCAGCGGCCGAACAAAAACGACAACTACTACAACCTGAGCTGCCAGCCTGTCCTTCGTCCTGCAAGTGAGCGTGAGGTCTAGGGGTTGCGGGTTTTCGTGTTTTAAGGTTTGGGGTTTCAGGGCTTCAGGGGTTCTGAGGTCTCGGGGTTTACATCCCTGAACCGTGAATTCCTTTGAACTTATTGTCGTAGTAGTTTGGCAAGAGACGGGTCTGCAATGGGACACAAGAAGATGATGGTGTCATATTGAGTCCCCGGCACTGTAGTTGGCTGGGCTTTTCAGACACCAGAGAGCGAGAACAGCCCGCTTTGTTTTGGTGTACACTGGGAATGATGCGAGATTCTGTTGCGAACGATGGTTTCAGTTCTGATCACTGACTGACAAGCATGGAAGGTCTGTCTTTGGAGAAGTTTAGCTGACTGTCCTTCCTTGGGGGAGTTCTCAACTCCAAAATCCCAAAGTCCTGAAAAAACCCTAGCGCTAACGCCCTGAAAACAAAGATCCTAGAGCCCGAAGCCCTAATTAACAGCACAGCTTGAACCCCACACCTGAACCCTAAAGCCCTAAGCCGTAAACACCCTAAACACCCTTGTCACCTCAAGCCCTAAACCCTGTAGCCTGGAGTCTATGACTCAGTGATGGACTTGAGAGCTTTGGGGTTCCCGCATTCGCAGTTCTGCAGGTTTTGGGGTTTGAGGCTTTGGGTGTGGGGTTTAGGGTTGACGGTTTTAGTTTAAGGTTTTGGGTGAAGGGTTTTGGGTTTTAGGGGTTAGGATTTAGGGTTATGGTGCCGCTGGCTTCTCATCGGCAGAGTTGAGCTGAGCTTACACTCAAAACGCTCCTTTTTTATTCCCAAAGAGCTCGGCGGAGAGCCCCCAATCCTAAACCCTAAGCCCTAAACCCTAAACTCTTGAACCCCTCCTCTTCCCCCACGAGGGCGCAACGAGCTTTAAGCGACGTGCCAAGGTCCTTCCGAATCGAAAGGACCTCACTTAGCCTTCGAGCGTTTGTTTGGGTCTCCGGAGCTAGGTAGGCCTTTGGGAATTTTTACTGTATCCCGTACTGAGCCAAAGAGGATCTTTTTTGTGTACGAATAATTTCAAAGACCTTGAAGCCCTAAACCCTAAACCCTAAAGCCTGAAAGGGCTGCTAGACGTGGGGTCTAGGGCTTGCGGCTAGGGCCAGGGTTTCGGGTGTAGGATTCACGGCTCGGGAAGGTTTCAAGACTCTCTCAGATTCCGGCGCTTGAATCACTATAGAAGCCTGAAGTATGAGCCAACACAGTGCCTTCGGACTTCGGGTTTTCCCTTAGGCTTTAGGGTTTAGGGTTATAGTATACCTAACCCCTCCCATGACCGGCCACAAGCCTCCTCCATCTCGGAGCTTGATAGTACAATGTATGGCAGTGCCGCCAAACCCCACGGCATTGACTTTCATCTTTAACGAAAGAGCCGAGAGCATACGGAGAAAAGGCGGCGTGAAACCGAAGGCTCGAAGCTTTGAATCCGTCCTAAACCCCAAACTACAACTTAACCCTCAATCCTAAACTGTATTCCTCCTCCTAAACCCTAAACCCTAAACCCTGAACCCTAAACCCTAACCCCTAAACCCTAAACCCTAAACCCTAAACCCTAAACTATAGTCCCCCTAAACCCTAAACCCCAATCCCGAACCCTAAGCCCTGACCTTCTGTAAGCCACGGACTCGAAACCTCAGCCCCTAAACCCTAAACCGTTGTCAGGACGAGCAGGGCGGCGAGAAGCTGGAGCACCACAAGAATGCCACCACCGAAGGGTGCTCTGGGGCAGTTGTAGGGAGGGTTTTGGGTTTTCAAGTTTAGGCATTTAGGATTTCAGGTTTTAGGGCTTTAGGGCTTTAGGGTTTTAACCTTCCGAGTGGGCTGTCATTGAGAGTGCGATGTTCAGCTGGTAGAATATACGCACTTGAAGCAGGTAGAACAGGGTTTTGAGGTATAGTATACTATAGCTGTATGAGGCCCCCCCGGATGGAATGCTGTTACTACCTGCCTAAACCCGAAACCCTAAAANNAAGCCCAAAACCCGAAACCCCTAAACCCTAAACCCCAGACCCTAAACCCCTAAACCCGAAACCCTAAAGCCCTAAAGCCTTAAACCCTAAGAGAGCAGAGTAGGCGAAGCCGAAGCTGCGAACTCGCGGATCTCCAAACCCCATGATCTTCAAGGAGACTCCAAATTGAGCTCTTTGTTATAGGGGTTTAGGGATTAGGGGTTTAGGGGTTTAGTCCATATGCACTACCCTATGTATGGAGTTAGGCCCTAGAAGACCATTCTAATAGTGGTTTGGGGGACCTAATTCCATAATAGTAGTATTTCTGGACCCTCTTTGCAAGGAAGTGCATCTAAGTTAACAGAATAAGGAAGCTGTTTTGGTCACGGTCATGACAGAGCCGTATTATGGTAACTTAATATTAAACTCCGTAACAAGGACACGGTTTTAAAAACGACAGGGTGTCTTGATCAGGTTTCCATGGTACATATGCTATGCAAGAGACATAAGCCCTTTTCTTACAGAGCCGTTCTACTCCTCCCACCCAAACTTTCAAACTATACTTTAACATAGCCCCCAAACCGTATTCTAGTCATCCAGGCCCCTGCCTTAATGTAACTTTACTATAATCTACCCCCCCCAAACCCTATTCTCATTATACTGTCTGGTCGGGGAATGGGTTAGGGACTACTATAAGGGACCTTAAGAGAATATCATAGGGATCCGACTAAGCACCCCCAAAAGCTTTACTATGAATCTAGGCCCCCAAACCCTCTTAATGTAACTTTACTATGATCTACCCCCCCAAACCCGAAACCCTAAACCAAAAGCCCTAAACCCTAAACCCTAAACCCTAAACCCTAAACCCCCCCCCAAACCCGAAACCCTAAACCAAAAGCCCAAACCCCATCGTAAAGGCACCCAAAATTTTTAAACCCGAACCGAGGACCTTCCACCCTGAGTTGGAGTCTGAATTCGCAAGCTCTCTGCCCTGAACCCTGAAACTTAGGGTTTAGGGTTTAGGGTTCAGGGTTTAGGGTTTAGGGTTCAGGGTTCAGGGTTTAGGGTTTAGGGTTTAGGGTTTAGGGTTCAGGGTTTAGGTCTGAACCCAAAACCCTCAAACTCTCAAGCCTAAGCCCTCGACGGCACTTCAGAGGTACGCGGGCGCCTTCCGTGTGGACCGGAATCGAAAGCCATTCGTCTTTACCGCCTCGTGCTTTTGTCCCTCGGAGTTGACATTCATTTAGGGGCTGCAGGCTTCATGGTCTAGGCTTCTGTCCCCTTTTGAGTTGAAGAAGAGTGTTAGGGTTTTAGGGTTCTGGGTTGACGGTTGAGTCTTAGAGCCTTAGGGACTTTCGTCTTGAGGGTATTTTTTTGGGAGACCTCTGCCGGCTTGGGGCGAGATGGCTCAGGCCTAGCAGGGAAGCCTTGTGTGTTTGAGGACCCTAATCGTCGGTACCCAGAGACTCCAAAACCCCTGAATTAAGGAAAACACTTTAAAACGTGAGCCCAAATAAGATTTCAGGTATATTCCTTAAGTAAGGGATATTGGAGTCTCTGGGTAGGATGATCTTTACATTCCTTATTCATCTGCGCCTTGTTCTTGTTGCAATTCGAGGCATCGCGTTGAGGGCTCAGTTCGGGGTTAGGGTCTTCGGGTTTAGGGTTTAGGGGAGGCGGGTTTAGCGTAGTTCGCAGGATTGGCTTGCATGGAGATACTGCTGTTACTGCTGTGCCTCAGGGTTGTAGGGCTTGGAGTTGAGGTTTTGGATCTGTGAACCACCCTAAGCCCCAAACCCTGAACCCCAAACCTCAAGCCCTAAACCCTAAACCCTAAACCCCAAAGCTCAAACCCTAAACCCTAAACCCCACACCCTAAACCCCGAAACCCGAAGCCGTCCCAGTCTGTGAGGCATCTGGGCAAGGAATCTGTGGCCCATACCCCCGAAAACCTGAACGCTGAGCAACGTAGCCTAAACTCCACACCATGACACCCGAAAGCCCTAAGCCCGAAATCCTAGGCCCTAAACTCCACATACACCCTGAAACCCGAAACGAAACTCTAGAATCCTAACCCCTAAACTTTAGGGTTTAGGATTCTAGAGTTTCAGGGTTTGGGGTTTCAGGGTGTTAAATTAAAAAAAGTCTCTGAGGCATCTGGCCAGGGAATCTGATCAACCCGAGGCAGTTGACCTACCCGGGAGAGGCCAGGGCTGCGGAGAGTTCTCTGGGGCAGTGGTGGAGTTCTGCTCTTGTCGCAACCGTCAAGTTCAGGATCGGGATTAGGATTATTGAGGGTTAGGAGTTTCGGTTTTCGGAGGATTTCAGGGTTTAACGTCTCAGGGTTTGGGGTCTTTAGGGTTCAGTTGGGCTAGGAGTTTGGATTTTTACAGGTGAACCTGAAACCCTAAACCCTGAACTGCCACGTGGTAAGGAAGTACTGGGCCCCTTACCGTATCTGCACTTGTCCCTCGTGGCAGCTGGTTTTACAACTGACAAGCCCAATATCCTAAATCCGAAACCCGATGCCCATAGCCTTATAGAGTCTCTCTTGCCCAGGATCTCTTCCAAGGCTTCGTGGAGTATGGTGTCGAGATGCGGTGCGACTACAACAATGTCATAGGCTAGGGTTTAGGGAGGGGATTCGTTTCTGAAGGGCCCCAAACCCGAAACCCGAAACCCGAAACCCTAAACCCTAAACCCTAAACCCTAAACCCTAAACCCTAAACCAAACCCGAAACCCTAAGCACAGCAAGGCCTCACCCGGTTCTATGTTCATCCGGCTGAGGGTCTCTTTGGGCTTGTGGTGCTCTTTCATGCATCCTCCTGAGGATCTTAGTGGGTCAATAAAGGGTTTGAAGAATGAGAAAACTATTCCCCAGGACTCACAAATCGAAGTATAGTAGTAGTGTAGAACTGACGAAACCCGAGTCTGGCAAGCCAGGCTTTGGTATTGAGATGGTACGTTCTTGTGCCTTAATGGAGCGGGGTATGCAGATGTCCCACAAGCTGCTTGAATCATGGCTTTTATAAAGATCAAACCGGCGCTGCACCTAAACTCTGAACCCTAAGCCCTAAACCCCAACACCTGAAGCCAAAATCCCTGAAGCTCTAAAGCGCCAACAGACTACAGCCCTGAAGCCCTAAACCCCAAACCCTAAACCCTAAACCCTAAACCCTAAACCCGTCTTGCTATGGAGTGGCGGCCTTAGGCATCCCAAACTGTCCACAAACCCGGGTCCGACTCTGAACCTGACACGCAAAGCCTAAACCCCAACCCTTAACCCGGCCCTGGGTTTAGGGTTTAGGGTTTAGGGTTTAGGGTTTAGGGTTTAGGGTTTAGGGTTACCCTAAAGCCCTAAACCCCACACCGACACCCTAACCCTAAAACCTGAAACCTATACCTCAAAACCCTAAACCTTAATCCGAGAACGCCGCGGCCTCAAAGCCCCAAAGCCGAAAAGGAGGTGCCTTTTGCTGTCCCCTGGAGGAACAGTACGTCCTCAATGCTACGTGCGATTAAGCAAGAACTGGCGGCCTATCAGTTTTTTAGGGCAGTCCCATGAAGTCGTAAACCCCAAAGCCATGACCTTTTTGAGGAACTATATATGGAAACCATAATAACAATGCTAATAATAAAGTGTCTGCAGGCAAGCGGGTCATTATCCACGGTCACGGTGCTTTCACCATGGAGTCGCCTGGCTCGTGCAATACTTCGCGTTCGGAGGTTGTAGGGTTCAGGGTTCAGGGTTTCGGGGTTTAGGCAGGCCTAGTTTGAAAGATCGCAAGAAAGAATATTGCCTAGTCGTAATAAGTATGTAGCACAGAGCGCGTGAAAGTATGCCGCGCAGCGGCAGCAGCATCAGTAGCGGAGCAGGAGGCGGATCGCAGTCTTGTCTGATTAATTAGACGCAGCAGTGTTGTGTTTACTCCAACCCTAAGCCCAAGACACTAAACTGAACCTTCATTTCCAAATCGAGGAACATCAGGACTTGCTGCGAGTATGGAGCAATGCAGATGTGCCCGGGCCATCTGTGACGACATCGTGTTTTAATGGGCAAGGTGCGTTCAGTAGGATTCAGGGAGGAAGTACAAATTCGTATGCTTTGGGAGGTTTTCGGGCTTGCGGTTTAGGGCTTGTTCAGTAGCCTGTGGGGCGTAGAAAATGCGTGGGCTTCGGGGTTACAAAAAGCCGCTGGATCGTTGGGATGTAGTGGTTTGAGTCCAGAGACCAGCGCCAAGCTGCAGATGACTCAAATCACACAAGCAGCCACCACAGGCCAGGAAAAAAAACAGAACAAACGTCACCTCTCAAGGCGCCCGAACCTGCAGAAGCCGGCACCCTTGAATGCAGAGGTCTGAACAATGACCAGCGTACCCCCTTCGAGTCATAGTCCCTATATATATATATATATATATATGTATGTATAGATTGCACGCGCTATAGGCGCTTAGACTCTGAATCTCGGCTTGAACCCTAGAAGCCGTCACTAGACAGCATAAATGCTTCGATGTTGTCTGGGATTTCACTTTATTGTTGTTTAAGAGGATCTTCTTGACGAGTTTTTTTATCAGAAGGTTTCGAGGGCCAGGCTCGCTCTCCTCTGGAGACCCCGTGAATTTCGGATCACAGTTTCGCGTGTTTTTTTTCAAATCTTCGAGGAGTCACCAAGGCTTGATTATTAGTAATATAGGGGCCTAAATGATTACCTATACTATTTTGGGGGTTCCTGATCATAATTATAGTATAATGTACACCAAAAACCCTGTTGAAATAATTGAGGCCCCTATATTATTTGATTCCCGATGGGTCTGAAAATATGTTCAGAACATGAACGTCACCCAGAAATACTCGTAGGCCGTTTTGTCATCCTCAGGTACGTGGTGTGCCGCAAGCGAAACCTCACCTGTCCTCGTGCTGTCTCCTGGTTCATCAACCAGGTGCAGCATAAAGGCCCTAAGCCCTAAACCCACAAAGCCACCAAGTCCTAAGTCTAGTTATTCTGAGACATCCTTAAAGCACCCCGAAACCCGCATAGTAACCCCACAGCTATAAGTAAGGTAACTGTTCTCATTCTTGGTCCTCTCCCATCTAAGATACTTATGAAGCTGCTGGATGTACCCATGCCCTGAGCCCTAAACCCTAAA